TGTTCAAACTCTTCTATGGCTTTCAAAGGGTCATAAGACTTCAAAACTGTTCAAAAGCTCTAAAAATAAGGCTTTGACTAAAGCCTTTAGAGGACGCTTCAAGCGTGATCAAAATGGGAAAAGCTGTTTTACAAAGTGTTGAGGGTCATATGCCAACACAGAGTGTATCGCAGGTATAGCCAATGGCCACTTGAGGGCGCTGTTGTCTAATGTTCTGCAGCAGACACGGTCTCCGCAATGACATCATGTGGTTTTTATGTTAGTATCAATTGTATGTTTTTATGTTTGTTAGTTCATTACAAATGAATTTTTTGAATAATTTAGTCACTTTTAGGCCAAAATAACTATTATTATTAGAGAGAGACCAGCCTCTTGTGGACCTACCTCCTGCAGATGATGAGACTTGGATGGCAGTTCTGATCTCAGTCTCAGTTCACGCTCCTGACCCAGAAATGGAATCTAAAGGGGTGAAAATGAAATGAATCTGAACTGTTGAGCTAAACTTCTGCCTGTATTCTATAATTGTAAGTCTTATTTGCTCTTTTTGTGTCTTACTTGAGGACACAACCATAGTTTTGCACTTTCACAGCTGCAGCCGACCCCACTGTGGCACCCTGCAGTCTGGTCTCCCATCACAGGCCAGGCCTGGCCCTACATAGCTTCAGAGGTTTGACATGATCTGGAAGTTGCTTTCTGCCCTCTCATCACAAAAAACCAGAAGACAAGTTTCCAAAGTGAGCAGTTATTAAAGAATTTCTGATTTATTTTATGTGTCATTTAAACTTTGTTCTTGTTTTACCTAAAGCGTTCAGGCCCCAGAGGGAAAAGGGGGCGGAGTTTATGAAAAACACCGCCCCCTTTTCCATCCGGGGCCTGAACGGACACCAGTGGTTTCATCAGGCTGCAAACATAATAAACTGTTCTGGCTTCTCTGCTGACGTTTAAATGAGCACTTTATGTTTATGGCTCTGAAGGAAAAAGTCCAGTGGGCGGATCCACTTTACAGCGTGAAACGAGGCGATAAGAAACAGCAGTATTTGAGGATAAATTCTTAATCTCTTTGGTCCAACTCTACTCCTACTCTACCACATCTGTTTATTACAACTTTTGTGTACAAAACGTCGGCTTTGACGGCTGGGTTAACAAATATTCAAAAAATAATATCAAAGCCTCAGTCCTGGGTCTATACAGCCTCAGTCCTAGGTCTAGGGCCTCAGTCCTGGGTCTGCAGCCTCAGTCCTAGGTCTAGGGCCTCAGTCCTGGGTCTACAGCCTCAGTCCTAGGTCTAGGGCCTCAGTCCTGGGTCTACAGTCTCAGTCCTGGGTCTACAGCCTCAGTCTTGGATCTACAGCCTCAGTCCTGGGTCCACAGCCTCAGTCCTGGGTCTAAGCACATGTATTAGCCTTTCTGGACAGTGGTCTTTGTCTGTTTAAGTTTGTAAATGTAACTAAATGTACAAACGGTTTACTGTACTCTCGAGAGGTCGTGTGCCAAAGACGGTTATGGCCGTGTGGTGCAGGGACGTGTGTTTTAGGAGCAGCCTCAGTCCTGGGTCTACAGCCTCAGCCTCAGTCCTGGGTCTACAGCCTCAGCCTCAGTCCTGGGTCTACAGCCTCAGACCTGGGTCTACAGCCTCAGTCCTGGGTCTACAGCCTCAGCCTCAGTCCTGGGTCTACAGCCTCAGCCTCAGTCCTGGGTCTACAGCCTCAGTCCTGGGTCTACAGCCTCAGCCTCAGTCCTGGGTCTACAGCCTCAGACCTGGGTCTACAGCCTCAGTCCTGGGTCTACAGCCTCAGCCTCAGTCCTGGGTCTACAGCCTCAGTCCTGGGTCTACAGCCTCAGCCTCAGTCCTGGGTCTACAGCCTCAGTCCTGGGTCTACAGCCTCAGCCTCAGTCCTCAGCCTCATGAACGCTGTGGCCACTGTTGAATGTCAAAGATCTTGTTACATCTGGCGTGTCGTAAGTCCACAATCAGTGCATTTCTGTGATGCAGAGTCCACACGATCACGGGCTCTCTGACGTCACGCACCGACAGCTCACGCGGCAGATCACTGTTGACATCTCCTCTCTGCTCACGCCTCACACGCTGCAGCGGCAGGAAACACGCACCTCAGCTTTAATACAATCACTCTCAGGAAAATCTGCTCTCAGCTTCACGTAAAGAACAACAATAATAAAGCATCAGTTTCATTCAGCTCTTTTCAGGACGCTCAAAGACTCTTTCTCTCTCCAAACACGGTGTTGATAATCTACTGTAGCCACAGCTGCCCTGGGGCACACTGACAGAAGCGCGGCAACCAGTCTAAATTACTTTTACAGCCCTAAATCTTATTATTGCAAGGCACAGTGACTGAGTGGTTAGCACTCTCGCCTCAGCAAGAAGGTCCTGGGTTCAAATCCTGGTCGGACCAGGGCCTTTCTGAGTGGAGTTTGCATGTTCTCCCCATGTCTGCGTAGGTTTCCTCCGGATACTCCGGTTTCCCCTACCACTAAAAACACATGCAATAGGTCTGGCATGTGCCTCCTGTTTGGTGACCCCGCTCCCACCTCTGTGTGGAGTGAGTGCCCAAAAATAACAACTGTAAACCGCTTTGTGACTCTGGTCTGTGAAAGGTGGTATATAAATAAAGATTACTTATTGTTTTCATTTCGATGTCCCGCCCTCCACCGTTTCACCAATCAGAAAGTCTGTGATCCGGGCGCCAGAACTCACCGCGTGGAGCTAATCTCACTGGTAAAGTACCATGTGGCGCAGAACTAAAAAAGGTCTCGTTATGATTCTCAAATCATTAACGACAAAACAAGGAATAAAACCAGGATTTCTATCTTTGTGAAAAAAGTGTTGGTTATAGAGGGAGAGGCTGCAGTACCACTTTTGGCCACATTTTTACATATTGCTCCTTTCATGCTGCTTTCAGACCGCCAACGCTGGAACGCTGAAGCCCTGCTCACCAGACGCACATTCTCTAGATTTCAGACGGAGAAGGTCTTCAGACCAGAAGTCTTGGCGCGCGCCGGAAGTGGCGTAAGTAGCCGGCGGGCTTTGATGCTAACAGAGTTTAGCTAGCGGCTTCTTGTGTAAAGTTCTTCTTCAATAATGCAGCGTGTCTTTGTTCAGAGACCTTCCACAGACTTTATATAACAGCAGTGTGTGTTCACGGTGACTTTATATAACAGCAGTATGTGTTCACGGAGGTGACTTTATATAACAGCAGTATGTGTTCACGGTGACTTTATATAACAGCAGTGTGTTATATAAAGTCACCTCCGTGCCATCAGCCATCAGATCTCCACAGACAGCTCCCACACTCTGCTCTAACCCTACAGTCTGCTCCCATCAGGGCGTAGGTTCAGGTCCCTCCCATTCAAAACAAAAAGGGCCACATCCAGCTTCCTCCCCGCCTCAATTCGCCTTTTGAACAGCTGATCCGAGACCTGTTTTATGTATTTTATATTGTATTTCAGTGTGTTTCTGTGTTTTTGTGTACCACTGGTGCTCCGTCTGTAAATGTTCCTCACGGATTAATAAAGTTATTTGAATTGAATTGGGCAGCTCCTGTTTTGGCCGTTTACAGTATGTTCAGTCTGCTCGCTCAGACACTAATGTCCCCGTGATTTTCCGCTCCTGCTCCTCCCCTTTGAGTTTCCCGAGCAGTCCGTGGGTCTCTACTGAGCAGTCCGTGGGTCTCTACTGAGCAGTCCGTGGGTCTCTACTGAGCAGTCCGTGGGTCTCTACCGAGCAGTCCGTGGGTCTCTACTGAGCAGTCTGTGGGTCTCTACTGAGCAGTCCGTGCGTCTCTACTGAGCAGTCCGTGCGTCTCTACTGAACAGTCCGTGCGTCTCTACTGAGCAGTCCGTGCGTCTCTACTGAGCAGTCCGTGCGTCTCTACTGAACAGTCCGTGCGTCTCTACTGAGCAGTCCGTGCGTCTCTACTGAACAGTCCGTGCGTCTCTACTGAACAGTCCGTGCGTCTCTACTGAGCAGTCCGTGCGTCTCTACTGAACAGTCCGTGCGTCTCTACTGAACAGTCCGTGCGTCTCTACTGAACAGTCCGTGCGTCTCTACTGAACAGTCCGTGCGTCTCTACTGAACAGTCCGTGCGTCTCTACTGAACAGTCCGTGCGTCTCTACAGAGCAGTCCGTGCGTCTCTACTGAACAGTCCGTGCGTCTCTACTGAACAGTCCGTGCGTCTCTACTGAACAGTCCGTGCGTCTCTACTGAACAGTCCGTGCGTCTCTACTGAACAGTCCGTGCGTCTCTACTGAACAGTCCGTGCGTCTCTACTGAACAGTCCGTGCGTCTCTACTGAACAGTCCGTGCGTCTCTACTGAACAGTCCGTGCGTCTCTACAGAACAGTCCGTGCGTCTCTACTGAACAGTCCGTGCGTCTCTACTGAACAGTCCGTGCGTCTCTACAGAGCAGTCCGTGCGTCTCTACTGAACAGTCCGTGCGTCTCTACTGAACAGTCCGTGCGTCTCTACAGAACAGTCCGTGCGTCTCTACTGAACAGTCCGTGCGTCTCTACTGAACAGTCCGTGCGTCTCTACTGAACAGTCCGTGTGTCTCTACAGAACAGTCCGTGCGTCTCTACTGAACAGTCCGTGGGTCTCTACTGAACAGTCCGCTCGTGCGTCCCGAGACGTTCATGCGTTTTGACGCTCAAACGTGCGTCACCATTGACTTTGCATTGAAAGCCGACGCAGCATGATCCGCTCTGAACGTGGCATAAGTCCTTCTTCTACTGGGCCTTTATGCAATATCTAACAAACTAACTGACACGTTCCCTTGTGGGCTAGGGCTTGGTTTAGGGTACAATAATTAGCATTTAATTAGCTGTTAATAACTGAGGGCTAAATCTAAAGTGTTGTCATCGTTACAAATCTATCATCACAAAATATTAGTCTGAGTGAACCAACATGCTTGGACTTCCCCCTACTATTGTAATCTTTGTTATGTAATCCCATCCTCCTGCCAGCCCTCGGGGACCGCGATGGCTCCTAACGGTTTCCACGCTGCTGGAGGAAGCGGCTGGTGTGAGGTTTGCGTCCTGACTCGAGCTGGTCTCTTTGAGTGGAGTCCAATGTGTTTCGTGACAAAGGTCCACAGGGTATAGACAGGAAGCCACAGAGGCCCGGGTCCACCACGGAGAAGCCACGCTCACTGCACGGATACATGGGACTCTGCAGCTGTTCACCCTTTAGGCGCCAGAGCTACTGAGTCCAGGACACTTTCTATACAGCAACCTGGCTTCACACAAACCTTTGAAGAGAATGAGCAAAGATGCAGAGGTCTGGGATCGTTATAATGTTGGTAAAGAGCATGGACAAAACGGGGACACGTTAAAGGTCTGCAAGGTTCTTAGTGTAAAATAAAAGTGTAGAGAAGCTGGTTCTGCTTAATTACCACATGTTTAGGCGTTAGATTCCGCCATCTTTAGAGGTGACACGTGATGGCGTGACGTGTCTAAGATCAGCTGTTTTTACTGGATTCGGTCAGTTTGACAGATCGGTCTGATCCGTCAGACTGGCCACGCCCCCTGCAGTGAGTCCCAGGTGTGAGCCAAGGTGGAAGCCCCCTCGTCTCTGTTGATGGTCCGTACTGTTTCGTCCCAGTCCATTATGTGACTTTCTCTTTTGCAGTGGTCAAATGTTGCTGATTTACACTTCTGTTTTTTATAAGAACCTTCTAAGCCCTAAATATAAAGCGACATAAGAATATTTCAGGGACACATGTGCCAAGGCTCCAACAGATGTGTCCACTTCCACCTTCAGATGAAAAACACTGCGGACTGTTGTAAGGACAAGTTCAGTTTGAAGTGTTTGCATCAAAAGTGTCAGAAATGATCCGCTTTTTGACTGTTTCTTACTTTAGAATGTTCTGGAAACAGCAGCGAGTCCTAAGTGTCTCTGAAACAGTATTCATGGTTTTACACTGGTCCAGACCAGAGCAGAGAGTATTCATGGTTTTACACTGGTCCAGACAAGAGCAGAGAGGATTCATGGTTTTACACTGGTCCAGACCAGAGCAGAGACCATGGTCTGAACCAAGCAGCTGCTGCTGTGACCTGTGGAGTCCTTCCGTTTCCTGGGCACCACCATCACCCAGGACCTCAAGTGGGAGCCGACCATCAGCTCCCTCATCAAGAAGGCCCAGCAGAGGATGTACTTCCTGCGGCAGCTCAGGAAAGCCAAGCTGCCTGCACAGATGTTGGTGCAGTTCTACACGGCCATCATCGAGTCCATCCTCACCTCCTCCGTCACCGTGTGGTTCGCTGGAGCCACAGTCAGGGACAAACAGAGACTACAGCGCATTGTGCGCTCTGCAGAGGAAGTGATCGGCCGCAGCCTTCCATCGCTGCAGGACCTGTACGTCGCCCGAGCTCGAGGCCGGGCTGGTCGTATCACAGCCGACCCCTCTCACCTGCACATGGACTATTCCAACCACTCCCCTCTCACCTGCACATGGACTATTCCAACCACTCCCCTCTCACCTGCACATGGACTATTCCAACCACTCCCCTCTCACCTGCACATGGACTATTCCAACCACTCCCCTCTCACCTGCACATGGACTATTCCAACCACTCCCCTCTCACCTGCACATGGACTATTCCAACCACTCCCCTCTCACCTGCACATGGACTATTCCAACCACTCCCCTCAGGCAGGAGGCTGCGGTCCATCAGGACTAGAACCTCCCGCCACAAGAACAGTTTCTTCCCCTCTGCTGTTGGACTCTTGAACACTTCTTAACCTGTCCCCCCGCCCTTTATAAAGTCACTTTACTGCCCATCATACGTCACTTTACTTCACTGTACTGCTGTCACCTTACATTGTGTGCACCATGTGCACTTGTATATTGTAAATAGTAACTGTAACTCTATTTTACATTTAAATTTATTCTTTAGAAGTGTTTTTTATTCTTATTTTTATTATCTCTTTTTGACTGTTGCACTGAGCCAAAGCAATTTCCAAGTCTGTGACCTCCTGTTACTTACGTGGCAATAAAAATGATTCTGATTCTGATTCTGATTCTGATTATTATTACTAATGTTAGCTTTTTAGAATTATCAATTTTATTCTTTATTTTTGCTGCTACTGGACACCTGAATTTCTCCCACGGGGATTAATAAAGTGTCTATTTCTATGTTCTGAAAAAGCTGGTGGCTCTTGGTTTGTGGCAAACTATAGAATATATAATGGAACAGCTGTTCGTTACACACACTTTGGGACTTTTGGACTTTCACAACAACAAACTATAAATGTGGGCAACACTTGAGATTAGCTAATCACTAATTATCAGCTAATAAAGTGCTAATAACCATAACCATGACCATGTAGAATAGGGTCTAATAAATACTTAATAAATACCAATTAAGAAATATTTAACAATAAATCATTCACTAATTATCACTTAGCTGTTTATTAGTGAGGGCTATTCCCAAGTGTGACCTAAATGTGTTGGATGTGGCTGTGATAAGACAGAACATGGAACTGATGGAATGAAGAACACTTTAGTCCCTCCGGTGTCGGTCTGATCCCAGGCTGTCGCTGTCTCTACAAACATTCTCACAGCAGTATTTACGAGAGTTCAAACTCCTGAGCTGGGTTCGAGGCCCCCCATCCACATCCAACCCCCGAGGACTGTGAAGGCAGAAATGTAGGGAAATTATCAGCACGGTATAAACAACAACAAATCTATAACCAACACTTTTTTCACAGAGATTGAAATCCTGGTTTTATTCCTTGTTTTGTCGTTAATGATTTGAGAATCATAACGAGACCTTTTTTAGTTCTGCGCCACATGGTACTTTACCAGTGAGATTAGCTCCACTACTGTTATCAGTTAAAGAAGTATTGGAAAAGAGAAGTTTATTATTATGACAGATTAGGGCCCTTTAATGATGACAGATTAGGGCCCTTTAATGATGGCAGATTAGGGCCCTTTAATGATGATAGATTAGGGCCCTTTAATGATGACAGATTAGGGCCCTTTAATGATGATAGATTAGGGCCTTTTAAAGATGACAGATTAGGGCCCTTTAATGAGGACAGATTAGGGCCCTTTAATGATGATAGATTAGGGCCCTTTAATTATGACAGATTAGGGCCCTTTAATGATGACAGATTAGGGCCCTTTATTGATGACAGATAAGGGCCCTTTAATGATGACAGATTAGGGCTCTTTAATGATGACAGATTAGGGCCCTTTAATGATGACAGATTAGGGCCTTTTAAAGATGACAGATTAGGGGCCTTTAATGATGACAGATTAGGGCCCTTTAATGATGACAGATAAGGGCCCTTTAATGATGACAGATAAAGGCCCTTTAATGATGACAGATTAGGGCCCTTTAATGATGACAGATTAAGGCCTTTTAAAGATGACAGATTAGGGCCCTTTAATGAGGACAGATTAGGGCCCTTTAATGATGACTCGACATGAATATATTACATATTACTTCTTTAACAATAATGCTTTAAATAACATTACTTTATTGATAATTGATAGTCGGAGAAATCCAGGAGTCCAGCTGCACCACAGAGAGACCAGAGAGAGACTAGAGAGAGACCACAGAGAGACTAGAGCGAGACCAGAGAGAGACCAGAGAGAGACCACAGAGAGACCACAGAGAGACCAGAGAGAGACCAGAGAGAGACCAGAGAGAGACCAGAGAGAGACCAGAGAGAGACTAGAGAGAGACCATGAGAGACTAGAGCGAGACCACTGAGAGACCACAGAGAGACCACAGAGAGACCAGAGAGAGACTAGAGAGAGACCAGAGAGAGACCAGAGAGAGACCAGAGAGGGAGACCACAGAGAGACCAGAGAGAGACCAGAGAGAGACCAGAGAGAGACCAGAGAGAGACCAGAGAGAGACCAGAGAGGGAGACCACAGAGAGACCAGAGAGAGACCAGAGAGAGACCACAGAGAGACCAGAGAGAGACCAGAGAGAGACCACAGAGAGAGACTAGAGAGAGACCAGAGAGAGACCAGAGAGAGACCACAGAGAGACCACAGAGAGACCACAGAGAGACCACAGAGAGACCAGAGAGAGACCAGAGAGAGACCAGAGAGAGACCAGAGAGAGACCAGAGAGAGACCAAAGAGAGACCAGAGAGAGACCAGAGAGGGAGACCACAGAGAGACCAGAGAGAGACCAGAGAGAGACCAGAGAGAGACCAGAGAGGGAGACCACAGAGAGACCAGAGAGAGACCAGAGAGAGACCAGAGAGAGACCAAAGAGAGACCAGAGAGAGACCAGAGAGGGAGACCACAGAGAGACCAGAGAGAGACCAGAGAGAGACCAGAGAGAGACCAGAGAGAGACCAGAGAGAGACCAGAGAGAGACCAGAGAGAGACCAGAGAGAGACCAGAGAGAGACCAGAGGGAGACCACAGAGACTTGTCATTTAGGACAAAACAAGGAAACATTGAATTGAATGGAATTAAACAAGTTCATGTTTTTGCATAATTTGTGCTAACTACATAATAAATAACTGAACATAACATATTTAACACAAGAGACCTTTTCACTTTTTAACACAATTATACACACTTCCTTCTCCACATCCCGAGTGATTCTATCGATGCCAAATGTTGTGACTTTCTCCATTATGAGATCAGTTCCTCTTCTTTGTAAAGTCCTGAAATAGAATAATCCAAAGCAAACACTCTGAGAGGGATATTCTGAACCGCTGTAAACTTACACGGCCGTGTTTACGTGTTTGTGAGTCCGAGGCGTGTCACTTGTTTATTTCTTTTGGACTTTCTGCAGATGTTGGCGCAGTATCAGACACACGTGACCAAAGGCGGACGTCACGCGTGTATAAATACTGGGCCTCGGAGGGAGTGGGCGGATCGCTGCTGCTCACACACTTTAGCAGATACTCAGGCGATAACGGGAGGAACCTGAGATAACCTCAAGTACAAATCTTTCCCAAAGCTGCCACCACTTTCACAAGGACTGGGATTCGAACCAATGGGGGGAGGTTGTTGTTGAGTAAGTTTGTTTGTCTAGCACAGATCATACACAAGGCAACTCAAAGTGTGTAACAAAACAAGAAAAGAAAAAAAAAATCACATGGAGAGATTAAAATCACAAAGGGCATTAACAATTAACACCCTTCAGTTGTACCACCGCTTCACAGAACTGTTTGAGCCTGTCTCACATTTTCAGGAAGACTGCTCCAGATTGTATTACCTGTGCTCCTCAGAGTCCCAGCAGGAGGCCAGTCCCTGTGCTCCTCAGAGTCCCAGCAGGAGGCCAGTCCCTGTGCTCCTCAGAGTCCCAGCAGGAGGCCAGTCCATGTGCTCCTCAGAGTCCCAGCAGGAGGCCAGTCCCTGTGCTCCTCAGAGTCCCAGCAGGAGGCCAGTCCCTGTGCTCCTCAGAGTCCCAGCAGGAGGCCAGTCCCTGTGCTCCTCAGAGTCCCAGCAGGAGGCCAGTCCCTGTGCTCCTCAGAGTCCGGGCCAATTCATATGGGACAAACAAGTCTCTAATGTTCTTCGGTGTGAGGACATGCAGAGACTTGTAACAAACAGAGCTGCTTTAAAGTCTATTCTCTGAGCCACAGGTGCAGAGACCTGAGGACTGGACTAATGTGATGGTACTTCCTGTTTCTCATCATGACTCCAGCTGCAGCTGTTTTAAAGCTTGTTTGGAGAGACCTGTGAGCAGCCGTTACAGTAGCACTAATGTGTTTTAGATTAACATTAACACTAATATATAAAAAATAAAACTAACTCCATAACATTGAGCCACAGGCGTGATGGATGATCACTATGACAGACGGACGTTCCTAAATGTCTGATGAAGGACCTCTTCCTCCGGATCACATGTTGCGTTCCTCTTCCTCCTCCTCCGCGCACTGGGAGCTCAGTAGGAGGTCTCGGAGTATAAAGCCGTCCGTCATGTCTCTTTATGGGGCGCGGGGGTGGGTGTTTCCCTGCGGAGACACTTCCAAATGCATCGGCCCACACGGATCCACCAGAGTGAGTCAGCCTGAGTCAGAGCTGTATGTGCCGCCCACAGACGCACACTTTCCCCTCCAAAAACCAAACAATGGGATGGTATCGTTCTATAGGTCCAAACTAAGCACTGTGTAGAATCGTGGGGATCAGCGACGCTTTGGCGCTAATATACTGCGGCGTTGATGAGCTGACACTGATCATTTGTCTTCAAAAATATCTCCATTTGTTAAGGCATAGCAACAGTATGGACTGAGCTTTATGAGTATATTCCTGTTTATCAAAGGAAAACCTCTTTTTATTATGTTTGTGTTTTTGTTCATTTCGTTATTTCAAAGTTTTTATAGTTTCACTCATGATTCAAACCCTTTTTATTCTATGTTGGCAGAGCTGAAGCTGGCTGGATGATACTGACTGGAGGTGAACTTGTGTTTCTGTGTTAGCGGCAGAGGGGCACATGAAATGACAGAGGGCCAAAGTTTGACACGCCTGCGCTATAGGGCTTGATACTTTATATGTTTATACTTTTTATAGAGTTCTGCTGCACTTAAAGGTATATTGGAGGATGTTCTAGTTCTGGGTGGATCATCAAGACTATTGGTTCTCCCAAAGGTAAATCATTCAGGTGATAAATAAGGCCAGAGAGTTTTGTTAAAAAATTGGAGTGGGTGGTTCTTTCCTAAAATTTGTGAAAACCCTCCTATATCTCTCTAATATTCACTTGTCTAATCCTATGTTGTGTGCTCCTCAATGCAACACTGAAATTTAACCCACTGTGGCATAAATAAAGGAGTTCTTAATGTTGTTTCTGCTATTCTTTTTCTTGCATTTGACTTCGACACCTCTATCTGCATCTTATTATTTTTCTATTTATTTATTTATTTGACAGGGACAGTGTACATTAATCAACATTTCTGTAAATGCACCGGAATTAGCCAAAAGGCTATTTTTCATCCGTAGTCCCTGGACAGATGTAAAAAGTCTCCCTAAGACAATAAAACAATAAAACATTACGGTCAGTGCAATAAAATACAAAGTAAGACCCAGTCACTACACTATACAGGTTAAATACAAATACAAACAGTGTAAACAATAAAAGAGTCATAATACAGACAGGGGTTAATGACTGCAAGACTGTTGAGTAATGAACCAGTTCTTTAAATGTTTTTTAAACAGTATGTAAGTGGACAGATCTCTTATGTTAGCTGGGATGGAGTTCCAGTCTTTGGCTGCAGTTACAGAAAAGGTGTTCTGACTAAAGGCACTTTTCCTAAATGGAACTATGCAGTCTCCTCGAGCTGCTCCTCTGGTCACCCGCTGTAAAGATGTGGGGTTTCTGATGCTGACAAACTGACTGAGTGGGGGAGATGATTGGTTGTGGATTATTTTATGTATGAGGCAGAGGTTTGAATACTTAATGAGATTTTCCCAGCTTAAAAGTTTGTGCTTTTGAAGGATATTGCAGTGATGATACCTCATTGGTTTTTTGTCCAGAATTTTTATTGTCCGTTTGTAAAGTGACTCTAAGGGCTTTAGTGTTGTTTTATTTGCTTGAGACCAAGTTGTTAAACAGTAGGTTATGTGCGATAGGACCATGGAATACATGAACATTTTTGCTGCTTGCAGAGAGAGTTGAGACCTGATGAACTGGAAGTTGGAGATATTGAATTTGACTTTATTGCAGACTTTGTTAATTTGGGTTTTGAATGTTAGGTTTGAGTCTATTGTAATTCCAAGATATTTGTATTCTGACACCACTTGCAACTTTTCACCTGCCATATAGCTGTTGAATTTTTGACGTTGGACCTTGTAAAGAACATTGAGACAGTTTTATTGATATTGAGTTTTAAACAGGACTGATGTAACCATTCTGTAACATGGGCCAAAGACTGAGAGAGTTTATCTGCCACTTGAGTTGGATTTTTGCCATGTGTGTAAATGACTGTGTCATCAGCGTACATTTGAATGGAGACATTGGAACAAACAGAGGGAAGGTCATTTATGTAGAGTGAGAAGAGCAGTGGACCCAGGTTGGAACCTTGTGGTACTCCTGTCTTTAAAGGAAGGGGAGAAGAGCTGAAATCATTGATTTTGACAGACTGCGACCGATTTGTTAGATATGACTCAAACCATTTTGTAGCTTCTGGTGAGAAATTGAATGTGTTGAGTTTTGTGAGCAGTATATTATGATTTATTGTGTCAAAGGCTTTCTTTAGATCCAGAAAGACGGCCCCAACCACACCACCTTTGTCCAAATGTTGCTTGATTTTTTCAATGAAAAAACAGCTAGCTGTTTCTGTAGAATGTTTTGCCCGGAAACCAAATTGCATCGGGTGAAGTGTGAATGGAGTAGTGTTCAAATGTGAAATTATTTGTTGCGCAACAAGTTTCTCTGCCACCTTAGACACTGTCGGAATTATACTGATTGGCCTGTAATTGCGGACGGATAATGCATCACCATTTTTGTAGAGTGGAATTACAGCTGCTGACTTCCATACATTAGGGAAAACTAATTCTGAGATGGACTGGTTAATTATTTTGGTTATAGGAGCGATTAATGAGAGTCCAAGTTCTTTCAGTGTGACTGTGTCAATGCCAAATACGTCTTTCGTTCTGGATGATTTAAGTGTTTGAATCGTTTGAGCAACCTGAGCTTCAGTAACAGTGCCTAGTCTGAGAGCCGGCTCTGAGGTTCGCTGGGAGCAAATCACGTCAAAGTCATTGGGTGGAAATGACTGGGCAATAGTGGATACTGACTCAATAAAAAAATTGTTAAGTGCATTTGCAACAGTTTTTGAATTATTAGTCAGTTCCCCATTAATTTCCAATTCCAATATTTTTTTCTTTTTTAAGTCATGTCCTAGTAGTTTTTTCAGTTGATCCCAGATCATTTTAGAGTTTCCTTTGGCGTTTTCAATTATGGTCAAGAAAAAATTGGCCTTAGCTTTACGTATGCTCATGACTACCTTATTCCTAAAAGTTGTAAACAAGTTTTAGAAGTTACAGTTTTAGTTTTTATAGCATTTTTCAAGGCAAGATCCCTCTCTTTCATCATTTTCAGGATATCCGAATTCATCCACGGAAGTACATTTTTATTGCTTTTCCTCCTGATTTTAGAAGTATATTTTATTATAATTTGCTCAATTACTGTTATTAAGGTTTTACTATTCATATTACAATTACCTAATAATAACTGATCCCAATCTATCTGCTGCACAGTATTTTTAAAATGTTCCTGTTTACTTTTAGGGATACTGACAGATTCACTTCGACAGACTGAAGGACTGAATCTCTGTTTGGAAAGCTTCCTGGCCATCAGGATCAAATTGTGGTCAGAAATACCTGCCAACATGTTATAGGACTTAATTATTCTCTCCGGTCGATTTGAAAAGACCAAATCAATCTGGCTGTTGCTAGATGCTGTGATTCTTGTTGGTCCTTTGATCATCTGGACGAGATCAAATTTGTCAGTGATCCTTTTAAGATGCTTTTTACAAGATGCCTCCTCCCAGTTTATGTTAAAGTCCCCAAAGATAACTGTCTCTATATTTGTGTTCCCTTCTTTAAGTAGCTTTTCAAACTTATCATAGAAACTGCTATCTGAGGAGGGAGGTCGGTATAAAACAATAATTTTAAATGCCATTTGCGGTGATAGCGTAATATTTAAACCCATGCATTCCAGATCACTATCGTTCTGACACTGTAGTTCTTGACAGTGGATATAATTTTTTATATAAATCATCACCCCACCGCCCTTTGCACCTTCTCTGTCCCTCCTGAACATATTATAGCCTGGAATGTTCAGAGCTGCAGAAGGTGCATTTTTATAGAGCCAAGTCTCAGATAAGCAGAGGTAGTCCAGGTTTGAGTTGACCAGCAGATGACGAATTTGTTCGGTTTTGGACATGATGCTTCTTACATTTAAATGTCCTCCTAAAAGACCCCTGGGCTTCGCTTTAGGATCCCAGGATTATCGTTATGTTCAACCCACAATCAATGTAAGTAATGTAAGTTTGCTTCTATGTCTAGATTTTGGCCTCTGTCACGTTTATAGGTCCCTTTTTCAGTGTAAATAGAGGACAAACCTCACTGTCCAATCAGCTCCCAGCCCAGAGAGTATAAAAGTTGGACAAGAATGAGACATTTCTCATACACGAAGACATTTTACTTTTATAAGACTTTTATTAGGACAAGTTCCTTTAATAACGTTTATATACACGTCATGAACCCATAGTATTAGGTATCGCTGCTTTAACCATGACCTTGTATGTAATAAACACATAACACATCGCGTGAGGAGTGGGTAGTCCTCTCACACACAATCTTTGTCATTAGCTTAGCCGTTAGCATTAGCCGTTAGCATCTTCCGTGTGGTAGATCAGAGCGGAGCGGACAGGCACGGGCTGCGGCCACTCGCTCCTCGGTATGCTCCCCGCAGACATGAGCTCCCTGGTGCAGAGAATCGCTCGCCAGGCCCTGCTCACCTTCAGACCCCCGCAGTGGAGCAGCAGCAGCACCGCGGAGGAGGCGGGGAGGCTCTTCCAGGAGAACCAGAGCCTCCTCCACAGCCTCATGTCCGAAGTGAGTGCCCAGGATCTGAGGCTCACCCCGCGGACAGCTGCCTCCTCTGGCCGGCCCTCAGCCTTCGCGCCCCCGGTCACCTACATGCACATCTGCGAGACGGACCACTTCAGCATGGGGGTGTTTCTGCTGAAGAGCGGTGCCTACATCCCGCTGCACGACCACCCGGGCATGCACGGCGTCCTCAAAGTCCTGTACGGGAAAGTACGCATCAGCTGCTTCGACAGGCTGAGCGAGGAGCCCCCTGGAGCCCCATACACGTAAGATCAGAGCAATATCTGCAGCTCCACACGTAAGATCAGAACAATATCTGCAGCTCCACACGTAAGATCAGAACAATATCTGCAGCTCCACACGTAAGATCAGAGCAATATCTGCAGCTCCACACGTAAGATCAGAACAATATCTGCAGCTCCACACGTAAGATCAGAACAATATCTGCAGCTCCACACGTAAGATCAGAGCAATATCTGCAGCTCCACACGTAAGATCAGAGCAATATCTGCAGCTCCACACGTAAGATCAGAGCAATATCTGCAGCTCCACACGTAAGATCAGAGCAATATCTGCAGCTCCACACGTAAGATCAGAACAATATCTGCAGCTCCACACGTAAGATCAGAACAATATCTGCAGCTCCACACGTAAGATCAGAGCAATATCTGCAGCTCCACACGTAAGATCAGAACAATATCTGCAGCTCCACACGTAAGATCAGAACAATATCTGCAGCTCCACACGTAAGATCAGAGCAATATCTGCAGCTCCACACGTAAGATCAGAGCAATATCTGCAGCTCCACACGTAAGATCAGAGCAATATCTGCAGCTCCACACGTAAGATCAGAGCAATATTTGCAGCTCCACACGTAAGATCAGAGCAATATCTGCAGCTCCACACGTAAGATCAGAACAATATCTGCAGCTCCACACGTAAGATCAGAGCAATATCTGCAGCTCCACACGTAAGATCAGAGCAATATCTGCAGCTCCACACGTAAGATCAGAACAATATCTGCAGCTCCACACGTAAGATCAGAACAATATCTGCAGCTCCACACGTAAGATCAGAACAATATCTGCAGCTCCACACGTAAGATCAGAACAATATCTGCAGCTCCACACGTAAGATCAGAGCAATATCTGCAGCTCCACACGTAAGATCAGAGCAATATCTGCAGCTCCACACGTAAGATCAGAGCAATATCTGCAGCTCCACACGTAAGATCAGAACAATATCTGCAGCTCCACACGTAAGATCAGAGCAATATCTGCAGCTCCACACGTAAGATCAGAGCAATATCTGCAGCTCCACACGTAAGATCAGAACAATATCTGCAGCTCCACACGTAAGATCAGAAACAATATCTGCAGCTCCACACGTAAGATCAGAGCAATATCTGCAGCTCCACACGTAAGATCAGAGCAATATCTGCAGCTCCACACGTAAGATCAGAACAATATCTGCAGCTCCACACGTAAGATCAGAGCAATATCTGCAGCTCCACACGTAAGATCAGAACAATATCTGCAGCTCCACACGTAAGATCAGAACAATATCTGCAGCTCCACACGTAAGATCAGAACAATATCTGCAGCTCCACACGTAAGATCAGAACAATATCTGCAGCTCCACACGTAAGATCAGAGCAATATCTGCAGCTCCACACGTAAGATCAGAGCAATATCTGCAGCTCCACACGTAAGATCAGAACAATATCTGCAGCTCCACACGTAAGATCAGAACAATATCTGCAGCTCCACACGTAAGATCAGAGCAATATCTGCAGCTCCACACGTAAGATCAGAGCAATATCTGCAGCTCCACACGTAAGATCAGAACAATATCTGCAGCTCCACACGTAAGATCAGAGCAATATCTGCAGCTCCACACGTAAGATCAGAGCAATATCTGCAGCTCCACACGTAAGATCAGAACAATATCTGCAGCTCCACACGTAAGATCAGAACAATATCTGCAGCTCCACACGTAAGATCAGAGCAATATCTGCAGCTCCACACGTAAGATCAGAGCAATATCTGCAGCTCCACACGTAAGATCAGAGCAATATCTGCAGCTCCACACGTAAGATCAGAACAATATCTGCAGCTCCACACGTAAGATCAGAGCAATATCTGCAGCTCCACACGTAAGATCAGAGCAATATCTGCAGCTCCACACGTAAGATCAGAACAATATCTGCAGCTCCACACGTAAGATCAGAACAATATCTGCAGCTCCACACGTAAGATCAGAACAATATCTGCAGCTCCACACGTAAGATCAGAACAATATCTGCAGCTCCACACGTAAGATCAGAGCAATATCTGCAGCTCCACACGTAAGATCAGAGCAATATCTGCAGCTCCACACGTAAGATCAGAACAATATCTGCAGCTCCACACGTAAGATCAGAACAATATCTGCAGCTCCACACGTAAGATCAGAGCAATATCTGCAGCTCCACACGTAAGATCAGAGCAATATCTGCAGCTCCACACGTAAGATCAGAACAATATCTGCAGCTCCACACGTAAGATCAGAGCAATATCTGCAGCTCCACACGTAAGATCAGAGCAATATCTGCAGCTCCACACGTAAGATCAGAACAATATCTGCAGCTCCACACGTAAGATCAGAACAATATCTGCAGCTCCACACGTAAGATCAGAGCAATATCTGCAGCTCCACACGTAAGATCAGAGCAATATCTGCAGCTCCACACGTAAGATCAGAGCAATATCTGCAGCTCCACACGTAAGATCAGAACAATATCTGCAGCTCCACACGTAAGATCAGAACAATATCTGCAGCTCCACACGTAAGATCAGAGCAATATCTGCAGCTCCACACGTAAGATCAGAGCAATATCTGCAGCTCCACACGTAAGATCAGAACAATATCTGCAGCTCACACGTATGACAGCAGCTCCACACGTAAGATCAGAGCAATATCTGCAGCTCTGCACACACGTAAGATCAGAGCAATATCTGCAGCTCCACACGTAAGATCAGAGCAATATCTGCAGCTCCACACGTAAGATCAGAGCAATATCTGCAGCTCCACACGTAAGATCAGAACAATATCTGCAGCTCCACACGTAAGATCAGAGCAATATCTGCAGCTCCACACGTAAGATCAAGCATATCTGCAGCTCCACACAATATCTGCAGCTCCACACGTAAGATCAGAGCAATATCTGCAGCTCCACACGTAAGATCAGAGCAATATCTGCAGCTCCACACGTAAGATCAGAGCAATATCTGCAGCTCCACACGTAAGATCAGAGCAATATCTGCAGCTCCACACGTAAGATCAGAGCAATATGCAGCTCCACACGTAAGATCAGACAATATCTGCAGCTCCACACGTAAGATCAGAGCAATATCTGCAGCTCCACACGTAGATCGACATATCTGCACTCACGTAAGATCAGAGCAATATCTGCAGCTCCACACGTAAGATCAGACAATATCTGCAGCTCCACACGTAAGATCAGACAATATCTGCAGCTCCACACGTAAGATCAGACATATCTGACTCATCAGAGCAATATCTGCAGCTCCACACGTAAGATCAGAGCAATATCTGCAGCTCCACACGTAAGATCAGAGCAATATCTGCAGCTCCACACGTAAGATCAGAACAATATCTGCAGCTCCACACGTAAGATCAGAACAATATCTGCAGCTCCACACGTAAGATCAGAGCAATATCTGCAGCTCCACACGTAAGATCAGAACAATATCTGCAGCTCCCACGTAAGACAGACAATATCCACACGTAAGATCAGAACAATATCTGCAGCTCCACACGTAAGATCAGACAATATCTGCAGCTCCACACGTAAGATCAGAGCATATCTGCAGCTCCACACGTAAGATCAGAACAATATCTGCAGCTCCAGCACGTAAGATCAGAGCAATATCTGCAGCTCCACACGTAAGATCAGAACAATATCTGCAGCTCCACACGTAAGATCAGAACAATATCTGCAGCTCCACACGTAAGATCAGAACAATATCTGCAGCTCCACACGTAAGATCAGAACAATATCTGCAGCTCCGCACGTAAGATCAGAACAATATTTGCAGCTCCGCACGTAAGATCAGAACAATATCTGCAGCTCCACACGTAAGATCAGAGCAATATCTGCAGCTCCACACGTAAGATCAGAGCAATATCTGCAGCTCCACACGTAAGATCAGAACAATATCTGCAGCTCCACACGTAAGATCAGAACAATATCTGCAGCTCCACACGTAAGATCAGAGCAATATCTGCAGCTCCACACGTAAGATCAGAGCAATATCTGCAGCTCCACACGTAAGATCAGAGCAAAATCTGCAGCTCCACACGTAAGATCAGAGCAATATCTGCAGCTCCACACGTAAGATCAGAACAATATCTGCAGCTCCACACGTAAGATCAGAACAATATCTGCAGCTCCACACGTAAGATCAGAGCAATATCTGCAGCTCCACACGTAAGATCAGAGCAATATCTGCAGCTCCACACGTAAGATCAGAACAATATCTGCAGCTCCACACGTAAGATCAGAACAATATCTGCAGCTCCACACGTAAGATCAGAGCAATATCTGCAGCTCCACACGTAAGATCAGAGCAATATCTGCAGCTCCACACGTAAGATCAGAGCAATATCTGCAGCTCCACACGTAAGATCAGAGCAATATCTGCAGCTCCACACGTAAGATCAGAGCAATATCTGCAGCTCCACACGTAAGATCAGAGCAATATCTGCAGCTCCACACGTAAGATCAGAGCAATATCTGCAGCTCCACACGTAAGATCAGAACAATATCTGCAGCTCCACACGTAAGATCAGAGCAATATCTGCAGCTCCACACGTAAGATCAGAACAATATCTGCAGCTCCACACGTAAGATCAGAACAATATCTGCAGCTCCACACGTAAGATCAGAGCAATATCTGCAGCTCCACACGTAAGATCAGAGCAATATCTGCAGCTCCACACGTAAGATCAGAACAATATCTGCAGCTCCACACGTAAGATCAGAGCAATATCTGCAGCTCCACACGTAAGATCAGAGCAATATCTGCAGCTCCACACGTAAGATCAGAGCAATATCTGCAGCTCCACACGTAAGATCAGAGCAATATCTGCAGCTCCACACGTAAGATCAGAGCAATATCTGCAGCTCCACACACGTCCCACAGAATAAAGCCTTAACACTAGAACTATCAGAGTCAATTTGACGGCTTTTAGTTTTTGAAGTGGAGTTACTCTGCATTTGTGTATTTTTTTATTTTAAATGTGAGAAGTATTATCTCCAGGAGCAGTCATTTTCCGTTGGGGAAGCGCGCGTGCTAGTTACCATAGCAACACAGTGTTTACATGCTACAGTTAGCATTTAGCTTTTCAATGGACTGGATTTGCGGTTTTTCAACTTATACTCACCAGTTTTAGCACTTACTTACTTTTAATAAAGCTGGCGGGAAACTAAAAATGTGAATTTCTCAGATTTCCATTGGTTTGAATGACCGTAATCTTTATTTACCGCCTTTTCACTGCAGATCTGAGTCACAAAGTAGTTTACAATTGTTACTTTTGGGCATTTGTCTCTCACTCCACACAGAGATGGGAGCGGGGCCAGTACAGGAGGCACATGCCAGAACTATTGTGCATGTTTTTAGTGGTAGGGGAAACCGGAGCACCCGGAGGAAACCTACGCAGACACGGGGAGAACATGCAAACTCCACTCCGAAAGGCCCTCGTCCGACCGGGATTGAAACCCAGGACCTTCTTGCTGAGAGGCGAGAGTGCTATCCACTCAGCCACCGTGCCAACAGAGTTCTAGTAGTTTCAGAAGCTAACTAGTTAACTGATCTATCCCTTTAATAATACTATGTACAGAATAATGGATGATTACAGTAAATAACTCAAGGACTCTTAAAATTCTCATTTTTTTCTACTACTTTTATTAAAAATTAAGGAAGTCGTACAGTTTTGGTGCATATAGCTGAAATACAGCACAACAAACTGCTGCAAATAAACGGTGTGTTGCTATGGTAACCGGACACTTACTCCGAGCCCAGATGGCTCTGAACCAGAGTAGGACGAGTCTAGAAGCAGTCCAGGGTCGAGATGATTTCATAATGAGATAGAAACGTAACATAAGGACATAAGCTGCATGAAGTCCAAACACATGAGCAGAGTAACTACACTTCCAACACAGAATGATCTGAGAGTCCTAGTGTTAAGTTTCCTCATGGGGTTTTTAAGATTCATCGTCCTGTAATTTTAGTTAATATTCATATTGTTGGTAAATAACAAATGAATGTAAACTTTCAAGAACAAGAAATAATGGAATAAACAATACAGAAAGAGTTGTAAAATGTCGTAAACAAATCAAACCACATTACACGGCCTTCATCCATCTGTGTTGTTACAATTCTAATATTTAAAAGTCATTAATGATCATTGTGGACATTATTATCTGCCGTTTGCTCTGTTGACCTGGAACTAGCATTAGAGCTGAGTTCCAGGTCATATCTGCGGAGAGGCGAGCGCTCAGGTGTTTGAGCAGTAAAAACATCTGTGGTTAAATGTAAAATAAAAACATCTATACTTAAGTTATTTATAATGGACATGTTCAGATGAAGCTTTATTGGTCCCACAGAGAAATGTCAGTGTTGCATCAGTTACAGAACAGTCGGAAAGAGGAGCACACAGCACAAGATAAATGAACTATAAACTCTGTGCTAGCATAAAAACTCTAACTTTAGCATAATAAAGGCACATCGTATAATACTGAATGTTCTAGTGTGAGAAATATAGAGTTTGCTGAGTCACTTTGCTGCTAACAGATTTAAAGTGACTCAGCATGTTAGCAGCAAAGTGACTCAGCAAAGTGACACGTGTGGCTCTATATTTCACATTCAGACGTTATTTAAAATGATTATTGTTGTGTAATTAGATTTTTGGGACAATATTGGCTTGGGTTTAGCGTGTGTGTGCCTGTGTGTGTGCCTGTGTGTGTGTGTTTGTGTGTGTGTGTTTGCTTCTCTCCCTCACTCCTCTCTGTTGTGGTCCAGGCCTCCCCTCTCCGGCCTCCTGCGCCTCTCTCTGCTGCGCTCCTCAGGGGAGTACGGCCCTCAGAGCGGCCCCTGTGTGCTGTCTCCAGAGCAGGACAACCTTCACCAGATCCAGGCTCTGGACGGGCCCTCAGCCTTCATGGACATCCTGGCCCCTCCCTACGACCCCGACCACGGCAGAGACTGTCACTACTACACTGTGCTGAGCGAGGGACAGGCCGCAGAACCACCAGGACCACAGGGGCCCCCAGGACAGCAGGTGTGGCTGCAGGAGGTGCCTCAGCCTGCTGACTTCTGGTGCGGAGCGGAGCCCTACCCCGGGCCCCCAGTGTTCCTCTGACCCCCTCCCTCTGCAGTGGAGACAGTCACACTGAGACGTTTCAGCGCTGAAGAGAAGATGTGTCAGTAACAGTGAGCCCAGGGTCCTACAGCCTTCAGTGTCCCCTCAGAGCCCCATGTACCGTGGCCCCATGTACCATGTACCGTGGCCCCATGTACCATGTACCGTGGCCCCATGTACCATGTACCGTGGCCCCATGTACCATGTACCGTGGCCCCATGTACCGTGGCACCATGTACCGTGGCCCCATGTACCATGTACCGTGGCCCCATGTACCATGTACCGTGGCCCCATGTACCGTGGCACCATGTACCGTGGCCCCATGTACCATGTACCGTGGCCCCATGTATCGTGTACTATGTACTATGCACCATGGCCCCATTACTACTACTACCATGTACCATGTATCATGTACTATGTACTATGCACCATGGCCCCATGTACCATGTACCGTGGCCCCATGTACCATGTACCGTGGCCCCATGTACCATGTACCGTGGCCCCATGTACCATGTACCGTGGCCCCATGTACCATGTACCGTGGCCCCATGTACCATGTACCGTGGCCCCATGTACCATGTACCATGTACCGTGTCTAAATGCTCCTTGGTACTAAGACTAAACCAGGTGACTAGACTGTTCTGATCCTTCTCACAACAACATTTGTTTATTAGAACGACACTGTTTTTATTCTTCGTTCCAAAGAGAATAAACCCCAAGAACCAGGAATACAAGAAGGATTCTGCAGAAGTATCTGTAGCACTGCAGGAGCTCGGGTACCACTGTTTGAGAAACACTGGAGGTGTTTCCTCATTGGCTGAAGCTCGTTTGACTTTAACTGTCAGAGTTTCATTAGATTATGATCTATATTTACAGTTCCAATGTTTTAGTCTGAGAAGAAACAGGCTGTGGGTCCAGAGAGGGGTCCAGAGAGGGTGGCATGGGTCTGCTACTACCACTACTACTACTACTACTAGTACTACTTACTAGTACTCACTACTACTTAATACTACTACTTACTACTACTACTTATTACGACTCACTAGTACTCACTAGTACTCACTAGTACTCACTAGTACTCACTAGTACTTACTAGTACTTACTAGGACTCACTAGGACTCACTAGGACTCACTAGGACTCACTAAGACACACTAGTCTTTAGTTTACTGTGCGCCTGCTGTCCTGTGCAGGCACATTCCTCCAGGACAAAGGCCGGAGCTGCCGGAGCTTCCCTCCGACAGGATCAGGTCCAGGATCAGGTCCGGGATCAGGTCGAGGATCAGGTCCAGGTCCAGGATCGGGTCCGGGATCGGGTCCGGGATCGGGTCCGGGATCGGGTCCGGGATCGGGTCCGGGATCAGGTCCGGGATCATGTCCAGGATCAGGTCCGGGATCAGGTCCGGGATCAGGTCCGGGATCAGGTCCAGGATCCGGTCCAGGATCAGGTCCAGGATCAGGTCCAGGATCAGGTCCAGGATCAGGATCAGGTCCAGGATCAGGTCCAGGATCCGGTCCAGGATCCGGTCCAGGATCAGGTCCAGGATCAGGTCCAGGATCAGGTCCAGGATCAGGTCCAGGGTGTAACTCTGACTGTCCCCTGTTTGTTATTGCACCTTATGAAGTGATGGGAGTTTAATTTTGTTTGATTTTATATTTTTTCTGACGTGCACAAGCTTCCAGAACGTGTTCTTCTTTAGCTGTAAAATAACCACAAAAGGTAAAGGTGGGAACTGGCAAAAATGTGACGATTCCAAAGTATTGATACTGACGGTGACACAGACGTTTGAGAAGTGCTGCTCTTCACATTATTCAAAGACTTTACAAAGATGGAAAATAACATTTATTTTGGTCTGTCACAACAAAAAGACTTCAGGAGGAACCTCCAATGGAAATAAACTCTGAGAAAACACAACAGTGAATCTTATTTAATTAAATATCACAATACTTTGCGACTGAATTCCGTACTCAAAATACAGAGTCGATATTTTCCCGTCGTTATTATGTCATAAAAGTCAATCTTCAAGTTTGTATTTTATTTTTATGAATTTCATTTTGCTTGACAAATGTTTTTTTCTTTGGCAAATTTAATGTATCACAATCAAAATCCACTCGAAAATAAATGTTTTAGTTACTTTCATTGAGTAGTTGTTTGATTCAGAGCTGACAAATATGATGCAAAATAAAACTGGAGACAGATCAATCTTAAACAGTGACTTTTGGCAAATGTAACAATAATAATAATGCTTTTATACAGCACGCTCACCGTCTCCATTATTATTGTTTCTCTCCAAACACAGTGATGATAAACTACTGTAGCCACAGTTGCCCTGGGGCACACTGACAAAAGCGAGGCAACCAGTCTGTGCCATCGGCCCCATTCACACACACACCAGACTCATTCTAATGTGGGGGAAGTGTCTTGCCTAAGGACACAACCACAGTTTGACACTTTACAGCTGCCCACTGTGGCACCTGCTGTTCCCAGAGGTCTCCCATCACAGACTAACCAGGCCCTGCTCTACTTAGCCTCAGAGGTCTCCCATCACAGACTAACCAGACACAGTGACCCTGAAGGCCACAGTCAACACTAGGTTTGCTCCTGAGTTTAGTGAAAATGGAACGATCCACATTAAAACGGTAAAGTCCTTAACTCTGAGTCACTGTTCCAAACCCAGACTGTTTGGTGCGAACGGTTCTGAGAATGCAGTCTATGGTTCTGACCCATGAGCTGTTTGTGTGGTACAACTGGAGACTCGGACCCCCCAGTGGCCGTCTTGGGTAATGCAACTTACATCATCATCAAGTGTAGAAGTTATAAGAATATTTTCAGGTTTCTGAATCTCATATTGGTGTAAGAAAGATTATTACTGTCCCTGTGGGGATATTCACGTTTCCACAAGATAAATGTACATTTTATTAAACTGATCATATATATATATATATAAGAGATTCAGACCACGGATGTTAAAACTCAAAGCTCCTTACCATGCATGGCGGGTTCCATCCCAAATCCAGCACCCTGAGACTGTACGTAAGCCGTAAAGAAGGAGGCCGAGGACTAGTGAGTGTGAGAGCCACTGTCCAGGACGAAACATCCAAACTCCATAACTACATCATGGAGAAGGCCAAAACGGATGACGTACTCAGTGAATGTCTCAGGCAGTGGCGAGATGAGGAGGTGCTGGAGGAGAGCCCATCATGGGAGAACAAGCCCCTACACGGCATGTACCACCGGAGCATAACAGAAGTAGCTGATCTCAAGAAGTCCTACCAATGGCTAGAAAGGGCTGGCCTACAGGACAGCACAGAGGCACTCATCATGGCTGCACAGGAGCAGGCCCTGAGCACCAGAGCGATAGAGGCCCAGATATACCACACCAGAGGAGACCCATGGTACAGATATACCACACCAGAGGAGACCCATGGTACAGATATACCACACCAGACAAGACCCAAGGTGTCGGTTGTGCAAAGAGGCACCTGAGACGATCCAACACATAACTGCAGGGTGCAAGATGCTGCAGGGAAGGCCTACATGGAACGCCATAACCAAGTGGCTGCATAGTGTACAGAAACCTCTGTGCAGAGTATGGGCTGGAAACCCCAAGGTCTAAGAAACTCCTCCAAAGGTGGTGGAGAATGAGAAGATCCTGTGGGACTTCCAGATACAGACCGACCGAATGGCAATGAACCAACCTGACATCGTGGTGGTAGACAAAGGGCAGAGGACAGCCGTGGTGGTGGACAAAGGGCAGAGGACAGCCGTGGTGGTGGACAAAGGGCAGAGGACAGCCGTGGTGGTGGACGTGGCAATTCCAAGCGATGGTAACATCCGGAAAAAAGAACATGAGAAATACCAAGGTCTCAGAGAGGAGCTGGAGAGGTCCTGGAGGGTAAAGGTCACAGTAGTGCCCGTGGTGATCGGTGCACTCGGGGCAGTGACCCCGAAGCTAGAAGAGGTTACAGCGGATCCCTGGAACAACCTCGGACATCTCGGTCCAGAAATGTGCAGTGCTAGGAACAGCAAAGATACTGTGCAGAACCCTCAAGCTCCCAGGCCTCTGGTAGAGGACCCAAGCTTAGACAGGGATAACCGCCCGCGGAGGGCCAAAGGTGAGTGGACAATTTTTTATATATATATATATATATATATATATATATATATATATATATATATAGTAGTAAGTAGTGAGTAAGTAATCTTTATTTATATACCACCTTTTCACTGCACATCGGAGTCTCAAAGCAGTTTACAATTGTTATTTTTGGGAGTGGGGGGGCCAGTACAGGAGGCACATGCCTATTGTACATATTTTTAGTGGTAGGGGAAACCGGAGCACCCAGAGGAAACCTACGCAGACACGGGGAGAACATGCAAACTCCACTCAGAAAGGCCCTGGTCCAACCGGGTTTCAAACCCAGGACCTTCTTGCTGAGAGGCGAGCGTGCTATCCACTCAGCCACCGTGCCGCCCATATAAATATAATTATATATAAATATAATATAAACACAACTTTTTTAACAATGTCACGTTATTATTAGACAATATGAGTCCATGGTCAAAGGTCGACCCATGTCCAAACTGAGGCCCTCTGTTGTAACGCAGTCTTTGAGATCATAAACACAAGCTGACTGTCATCCAGCCAACTTCAGCTCTGCCATCATCTGCATGTTGCACCTTGTAAAGCTCAGTTCCTCTGGAATCCATTTCTAAATATCACTTAGTTTTGGATTGTTCAACGTGTTTGTTACAAAATCCATCTATGACGCTAGCAGAGATGGCGACAAAGTAGACTTTTGTTATTCAGCCAACTCCAGCTCAGGTTCTGCTGTGGAGGCACTCTTAGTATAAAGTTTGGACATCCCCGGTCTAAGACTTGAGAGAGAGAGGCACGCTTCTCAGCTTCTAAACCTTTATGTACATGTGTTATAATTGTATCGTAAATCTACGTTGTCTGCATTAGCATTAGCATTAGCATTAAATGAGCTGTAAATTGGGGGTTACTGTTTAGATGTTTCTGCTCCATCTTCAATCGACAGATGTGGTGCGCTGACATGCTGCAATCTCACTCCCCCCGGTGGGGGTGTACCCGGAAAGAGAATTATCCAATGCTTTTGTATGTCTTGGTCCAACGCTACGTTTCAGATGGTGTCGATGCTGAGGGGAGGTTTTTTTTTGTCCAGTCTAGTACGAAAACATTTCTACGATGGTGTGCTAAGACCAGGATAGGCTAACGGATGCGCTTCACATTTTCCAGCCCCACGGCTGAAAAAGCCCATAGAAGGCCACAGTGACGCACATGTTTCAACGGCGGAGAAAGGTCCGATAATGTTCACAGTCTATGGTTGTGACTCTATCCTCCTAAATGTCCAAGGATAATAAGTTTCACTTCCCTCCTCAGTGTTTGCTTCAGTTCATGTACAGACCATAACAAATGTCACATATTTCCTCCATTGCTGTAAAGTCTTTGAATGTTATGAGGGACATGAAACACGATATATCACAGAGTTGCAAAACTGTCTGTATTGAGATATGTTAATAATCACAATAATATTGAATTGTGGCCCTAATAGCACAAGACTAGGGGTAGTAATTGTCACATTTTTGCCATTTCCCACCCCTAGTCTGGGGACACATGTACAGAAAATAGAAAAATAAAGCAAATTTACTTCTTACCAGGACCATGGACAGTGACATCACATATTCTCTCAGAGACACAGATTACAATCGTACAAGAGAACTTTTAATTGCATCGACAGAAGCATCAGGATCAGTCCAGCACAGTCAAAGCTCCAGTGATAAAAACATAACCATTCAAACATACAAATCTGTCCCCTAGGATCCCGCTACAATCTGAGAACAAGCTCCCGCTGTATAAAAAAACAGAAGCACACGTCTACAAAGTGGGAACAGTCGCCCTTCATCAAAGTTCATGTTGAAAGCAGAGTGAACAGTCTCAGCGGGGGTCGTCATCACCTCGCTCTAGAATGTGGCTACAGAGTCACTTCACCGCTAAAATACACGTTGTAGTTTGCATAAGTTTGCTTTCTGCTATGACCTGGATCCATATCCCTGAGTAGCAGCACATACAGAAGCAGACGCCACAGCCAAGAGCCCAAAGCACGAAGCAAAGCTGAGGAGAGGGGCCCCTGCACTGTCCTGTGTGGGCATGGCCTTGTGTTTTATATAAATACTTCATTAAGGCTTAGAACGTTCTTCTGATAAAACTAAAGTGTAAAGGAGATAGTTCTGCTTTATTACCACATGTTCCAGTGGACGAACTGCGTCAGAGACGCTTCTCCAGACTCGCTTCTCCAGAAAATGTAACTGTTTTTCTATAGACTTCAGAGCTTGTGTTTTCACCTCGTGAAATACTGACGCCGTGTGAACGAAAGGCCTTTACTCATTTCTATCGCGTTTCTGTGTAAACAGAGGAAACAACAGCTGATCAGAGACACGTCACAACATCATGTGTCTCCTCAGACGAAGACCGAAGTCCTCCGCCCAAACATGTGGTGATGAAGCAGAACGAGCATTTTACACTTTTTGACTTATTAAAAGAACCTTCTAAACCATAGACATAAGAGAAGAAAATGACTTTTTTACATTTGATTTAAATATGTGTGCAGTGTGTGCTTCACAGACACCAGTGAGTCCAGGGGCGTGTCTGTCCTGGTGAGGGGGAGGGGCTTATGAGCTGGGGGCCTTCTTGTCCTTCTGCCGCAGGTGGATCTTCATGTGTCTCCGGCGCTCGTCGCTGCGTGCAAACTTGCGGCCGCAGTGCTCGCAGCAGAAGGGCTTCTCGCCGGTGTGGGTGCGGATGTGCGTGGTCAGGTGGTCGCTGCGGCTGAAGTTCCTCATGCAGATGCGGCACTGGAACGGCTTGTGGCCCGTGTGGATGCGCAGGTGGCGGCTCAGCTCGTCGGAGCGCGAGAAGCGGCGGTCGCAGCTCTCCGCGGGGCAGGGGTAGGGCCGCTGGTGCACCGGGGTCTTACTGGGCCGGCTGGGGTACTTCCGCGGCCGCAGGATGGGCCTCAGCGGCAGGTGAGGGAGGGGCCCGTCTGTGGACACGCCCGGAGCGCTCAGGGTGAAGTTGCGGATGGTGTTGAGTGGAGTGAGGGGCGGGGCCACCCGCAGAGGCTCCAGGGCGTAGGGCAGGGCCTTACGCTCCTCACGCTGACAGCTCTGAGGGTAGAAGCCCCCGTACTCGGGCACAAAGGACAACAGCGCCCCCTCCACCGCAGGGGCGTGGGGGGGAGCGTGGTACGACACGCCACACGCAGTGGACGCCATGTACGTGCTCTGGTCCTGGTACATGTTGCCACTGCAGGAGTAGGACGGGGGGGCGTGGGTGTGTGCGTGGGTGTGTGGGTGTGTGTGTGCGTGTGTGTGTGCGTGTGTGTACATGTGGCTGATGTCCGGTTGTGCGTGCGCCATGGCGTGCTCTTCTTGCGCGCTCCCTGAGGGGGATGTGTCCAGAGGAGCCGCGATGTCGGCGCTCACCAGGCTGACCAGCTCCTCCGCGGACCACACGGAGCTCTTTGACTCCACGCTGAACCTGGCCGTGAACGCCAGCGGTTGCGAGTGCACGTAGTGTTGGGGCTCCGGCTGCGGGGGGCCGGGCTGGGGGGGGCCGGGGGAGTCCCTCTGTCCAAACAGGAGCGCACCTGTGACACAAACACAAACACATCAGAATCAAACACATGGAACACATTAAAGATGGATTTGATTTTAGAGAAACTGAATTCAGATGCACTTGGTGTGAATTAAGATAAAGGTTAAAGGTTCTACTTCCGGGTGGATCATCAAGACTATTGGTCCTCCCAGTTGTCAATCATTCTGGTGATACGCCGTCCAATAAGACCAGAGAGTTTTATCAACAAGTGGAGAGGGAGGTTCTTTCCTAAAACTTGGGAAAATCCTCCTGTACTTTAAGGTTAAGGGATCATTTCTTGGTCCCGCAGAGCGGGGAAATTCCAGTGTTGCATCAGCAGTTACAGAACAGTAGGAATGAGGAGCACAGAAGAACAATGTCTCTGAAGTGAAACAAACAAATATCTAACCATATGCATAATAAAGAACAAAGATAAAATACTCTATTGTGAATTAAAATGATTAAAGTGTAGGTCTATGCTCTATTCACTCCAACAATAGTGTCTAACTACTGCTGCCACAGTTGCCTTGGGGCAGGCTGTCAGTGAGTGAGGCACGCATCACTGCATACACAACAGAAGAACACGACCCACTGACCACCCCCACGCACGCTCTCAGCTTCACCACGCACACGCACACACCTCCGCGCGCCCGCCACTCACCTGCGCTCTTCCCCCCGTACTCCCCCTCCTCCCCCATCGGCTCTTCCTTGAACACCACTCCCTCCGCTGCGGTGCATGTGTACATGTCTCCTTTGGTCATCATCACGTCCATCATCAGAGCTCCGTAAGACGCGCTCATGGCTCCCTCTTCACGCCGCTAAACGTGTGGAGAACACCCGGGTAGGACCTGTCCATGATGTGTCCTCTCTGGTCCTCTCCGGTCCGCGCGGGTAAATAGCTCCAGGGCGCGCGCTGTACGGTTTTAAAGAGGATCTCTGGGTCTCCCCCGTGCGTCACACTCCAAATATGGACCAAGAGGGAACTCCGAAAATAGGACGGCACGGTTCTGTGACTGACGACACGAGGACAGCAAATAACAAACACAGCCTTGTTGGTGTTTTACTGTTTTAACACTAGAACTCCCAGAGCAGTCGTATTGTTGGTGTTTTACTGTTTTAACACTAGAACTCCCAGAGCAGTCGTATTGACGGTTCCATTCACTCAAGTGTAAAATTAAAGCTTGCTCCTCTTCTTTTGTAATCATGTCCGCAATGGAATATAATGTTTGGATTTCTCTGTTAATGGATTTGCAGCGCTTTATACATCCATATTTTAATGTATATTTATATGTTTTAATATTTATGGACAATTTAGTCGCTCTCCTCAAATGAACCACAGAAACCAACACGTTTTGTCGCGCGTAAATGTGCGCGCGTGGAGTCAACGAGCTGCGGAATTCCGGTGGTTCCTCTCTCCATAAAAGGTGTGTCCGGTGATGATGGAGGAGGAGAGGAGAGGAGTGAGGAGGAGAGGAGAGGAGAGGAGAGAGGAGGAGAGGAGAGAGGAGAGGAGAGAGGAGTGAGGAGGGGAGGAGAGGAGAGAAGAGTGAGGAGGAGAGGAGGAGAGGAGAGGGGAGTAGAGGAGAGAGGAGGAGAGGGGAGAGAGCAGGAGAGGAGATGAGAGGAGAGGAGAGGAGGGGAGGAGAGGAGTGAGGAGAGGAGAGCGGAGTGAGGAGAGAGGAGGAGAAGGGGGGAGAGAGGAGAGGAGGAGAGGAGAGAGGAGGAGAGGAGAGGGGAGTAGAGGAGAGAGGAGGAGAGGGGAGAGAGCAGGAGAGAAGAGGAGAGGAGAGGAGAGGAGAGAGGAGGGGGAGAGGAGTGAGGAGAGGAGGAGAGGAGAGGAGGAGAGGGGAGTGAGGAGGGGAGGAGAGGAGAGAAGAGTGAGGGAGGAGGAGAGGAGAGGGGAGTAGAGGAGAGAGGAGGAGAGGGGAGAGAGCAGGAGAGGAGATGAGAGGAGAGGAGAGGAGTGAGGAGGGGAGGAGAGGAGTGAGGAGAGGAGAGAGGAGTGAGGAGAGAGGAGGAGAAGGGGGGAGAGAGGAGAGGAGTGAGGAGGAGAGGAGAGAGGAGGAGAGGGGAGTAGAGGAGAGAGGAGGAGAGGGGAGAGAGCAGGAGAGGAGGAGAGGAGAGGAGAGAGGAGGGGGAGAGGAGTTAGGAGAGGAGGAGAGGAGAGGAGGAGAGGGGAGTGAGGAGGAGAGGAGAGGAGAGAGGAGAGGAGAGGGGAGTGAGGAGGAGAGGAGGAAGAGGAGAGGAGGGAGGAGGGGAGAGGAGAGGAGAGGAAGAGGACAGGGGAGAGGAGGTGAGGAGGAGAGGAGGAGAGAGTGGAGGAGAGGGTGCGCAGGAGAGGAGAGGAGAGAGGACGAGAGGAGGAGGGGAGAAGGGAGAGGAGGAGAGGAGAGAGGAGGAGAGGAGAGGAGAGGAGAGAGGACGAGAGGAGAGAGGACGAGAGGAGGAGGGGAGAAGGGAGAGGAGAGAAGAGGAGGGGAGGAGGGGAAAGGAGAGAGGAGGAGAGGAGAGGAGAGAGGAGAGGAGAAGAGAGGAGAGGAGGAGGAGGGGAGAGAGGAGGAGAGGAGAGAGGAGGAGAGGAGAGAGGAGGAGGGGAGAGGAGAGAGGAGGTGTGGAGGAGAGGAAAGAGGAGAGGAGAAGAGAGGAGAGGAGGAGAAGAGAGGAGAGGAGGAGGAGGGGAGAGAGGAGGAGAGGAGAGAGGAGGAGGGGAGAGAGGAGAGGAGAAGAGAGGAGAGAGGAGAGGAGAAGAGAGGAGAGGAGGAAGGGAGAGGAGAGAGGAGAGGTTGCCTCCGTGTGTGTGCTGGTATCCAGAAGGAGGAGCTGCAGGAGCAGGTTCAGGACTATTAAATAGAGAGGAGCAAACGTCTGTCGTTCTGAAGCAGATACTTCTGAGATGTTGTATAATAAATTATAGTCATTATTATTCATGTTATTGTTGTTGTTGTTGTTGTTGTTGTTGTTATTATTATTATGCTGCTGCTGTGCTTTATTACTATTGTTAGTCACTTTTAGAATAATGTCTGTGTGTGTGCTGGATGTGTATGTTGGCCATTATGATGAGGTCATTATGATGAGGCCATTATGATGAGGTCATTATGATGAGGTCATTATGATGAGGTCATTATGATGAGGCCATTCTGATGAGGCCATTATGATGAGGTCATTATGATGAGGCCATTATGATGAGGTCATTATGATGAGGTCATTATGATGAGGTCATTATGATGAGGCCATTCTGATGAGGTCATTATGATGAGGTCATTATGATGAGGTCATTATGATGAGGTCATTATGATGAGGCCATTATGATGAGGTCATTATGATGAGGCCATTATGATGAGGTCATTATGATGAGGCCATTATGATGAGGTCATTATGATGAGGCCATTATGATGAGGTCATTATGATGAGGTCATTATGATGAGGCCATTATGATGAGGCCATTATGATGAGGTCATTATGATGAGGTCATTATGATGAGGTCATTATGTCACATGTTTCTGATACAGGAAGTGCCTTTAACTCAACGTTTAATAAGCTGCATTTTTTTTACTCTTCCAAACAAGAACTTGACAAACTGTATTCAGAGAGGAGTGAGACCAGGGGACCAGCGGAGAGAGACCGAGAGAGACCAGAGAAGAAGACCAGAGAGAGAGACCAGAGAGAGACCAGAGAGAGACCAGAGAGAGACCAGAGAGAGACCAGAGAGAGACCAGAGAGAGACCAGAGAGAGACCAGAGAGAGACCAGAGAGAGACCAGAGAGAGACCAGAGAGAGACCAGAGAGAGACCAGAGAGAGACCAGAGAGAGACCAGAGAGAGACCAGAGAGAGACCAGAGAGAGACCAGAGAGAGAGACCAGAGAGAGACCAGAGAGAGACCAGAGAGAGACCAGAGAGAGACCAGAGAGAGACCAGAGAGAGACCAGAGAGAGACCAGAGAGAGACCAGAGAGAGAGACCAGAGAGAGACCAGAGAGAGACCAGAGAGAGACCAGAGAGAGACCAGAGAGAGAGACCAGAGAGCATGAGCCGGGAAAACCCGGCGGGAGCGTGTGGCCGTCTTTTGAACTACCGTGGGCCTCCTGGAGCCTGGATGGCTAGTCACGGCGGGTGAGAAGAAAGAGAACGAGGACCATGAGAGTGTGCACTTATGAGACGATGATGACCATTAGACGATGACAGGTGACCAGAGTGAGGGTGGAGTAAGGATGACTGAGGAGTTCGTATCAATGTGGAGAAGGGATCCGATGCTACCAAGAGTGGACTCAGAGAAGTATGAGAAGTGTTGCGCGTCCGGAGACGAGGCGAGGAGAGTACGAAGAAAAGAATGTGAACGCTTGATCACAGGTTGTCCGGAGAGAAAAGCGCTTGCCCGAAGAATGAGCATAATCTAACATGAGACCAGTTGGGTGAGAGGTAACAGGTGGGCTCATGAGTGTGCCTACATATGGTCTGCAGCTCCGCTTGTCCCGGAGTTTACTGTGTGGCGGATCGCATGTCCAATAGAGGCGGCGTGCGTTTGGGAACCGGAGACTCAGTGACGGGTGCCATGTCGAGAAGGAGACGACCGACTGCAATTGTGAGGACGAGACCAGAGGAGTGTGGAGGGAACGCTGAGGCGGATTACTTTGAGGGGGTGGGAGGTGGACGATGCAGATTTCGATTGAGGATGGGCCTGAGCGTGGAAGTGTTGGCTTGGGTGAACGGAAGGAGACACTTGACGGAAGGGATCGGGATATGAGAGAGTGGAGGGGGTAGAGAGAGGAGAGGAGGCGGGGTACCGGTCGGGAGGGGGGAGAGATTAGTGAGTGCAGGTGTCTGATGACCGATGTTAGAAAGAGTCATGAGTACGTGAGAGAGACCTGGAATAGAGATGAGGACGGGTGAAGAAGGACAGAGAGAAACGGAGGAGTTGTCGGGGACAGGGGGAACGAGAGAAGAGACGGAGGAAGGTGAAGAGATTGGAGAGAGGGCGTGAGTGTGGCGGACGATGGGCGGCGGGACGGACGAGAGGAGAGAGGATCGCGAGGTCGGGGAGGAAGACGAGGATGTGAGAGCACCTGGAGTGGGGGATCCGGCCGGGACGTAGGGTGGGGCCTCGGTGCGTAGGGTGGCAAAGCGACGAGAAGCAGGCATGGAGAGAGAGAGGTTGTCGAGAGCGAGCGACCAGAGACGGGCGAGAGATCAGGAAGGACCGAGGACCAGGATAGACCAGAGCAGGAGACCAGGAGAGACCAGAGAGAGACCAGAGAGTGACTGAGGAGACTGAGATGCTAACCATATTGAGTATGCTGTGCGGTCTTATAGGATGAACGAAGGACGGACCACCTCAGTTGGGTGCCGACGGGATGAATGCACGAGATGATGGCATGCATCGGGAACAAGAGGTTAGAAGAGATGGCGTAGAGAAGAGGAGGAGACCAGTGGGGGATGGGGACGTTGTGTTGGGATGAGGTAGGAGAGAGGAGAGATTCCCTCGAAGAGCGAGCATAGATACCCAGGAGAGAGAAGGGGGTGAGAGGGGGGACGCGAGGAGCAGAGAGGGGGGAGACGATGAAGTGACGACACAGACGGACGGGAGTACCCAGATTGGGCGGAGGAAGAGGGAAGACCGAAGCCGTGCGGAGAGAACGTGCTCCAGAGGGACTACGTTGAGTCACCCAAGAGAGAGAGGTGTCGTTGATTATGTGCGGAGGGAGAGACGTAGAAGACAGAGTCTAGAGCCCGGTATGGAGAGAGACGAGATGAGACAGAGGGTGGGGGAGATCGAGACCAGCAGCAGGGCCCCCAGAGCCAGAGAGGAAGAGGAGTGGAGTGAGATGGCAGGAGGAGAAGACCAGGACCAGAAGCCAGTGACCACCCAGAGAGATGAGCCAGCAGACATCGGCAGAGGGAGACCAGAGAGGAAGTGGAGAGTTGAGGGAGTCCAAGAGAGGGAGGGACCAGACGATGGGGGGAGACGGAGGAGATAGTAGAAGACCCCAGAGAGACCTTAGGAGAGAGAGAGAAGGGGGAGGAGAGGGAGGAGGGAGGAATGATGAATGAGACCCCAGGGATGAATTGGTATGAGGCCGAAACGGAATCAGATGGTAAGCCCTGGGAAGGGAGACCCAAAAGAGTAGTGAAGAGTCTTCGCACTACTGTGAGAAAGTAGGCAAATTGGAGCTGGGGGAGAGCGAGAGGGAAAGAGTGAGAATCATGGCACACGAAGGACCTGGGACAGAATATGGTGACTTGAGCGGTAGACCGAACTGATATTGATAGGAGAGAAAAAAAACGAGGAGCGGGAAGTCGAAGAAGGATCGTCCGGGAGGAGATGCGGATGGGCGTAATTGATGTTTGGGAGAAGAGACTGGAGACGAGGTTGAGTGATGTGATTGTGATGAGAGTGGGATAGGAGATGAGAGGCGTACGATACGGGAACGACTGAGGGTGGGTGGGGGTGAGTGGAAGGAGAAAGGAGGAAGCGAAAGAGAGAGGGGTTTCAGGAATCGGAGTGAGAGAGAGAGTAGGGAGTGCCTGAGGACTGAGGTGGTCGTTGAAAGTTCGAGGGATGGATTGACAGTCGTTCGTTTTGGAGAAGGATAGCCGGGGTGAGTCGTAGAGATAGTGGCCCGCTAGTCCGCAGCTGCTGGAATGTCCGTGAAGAGAGGAGGACCCAAAGAGACCACGGAGTACGGACGACTGTAAGGAAGTGTGATGTGAGTCGAGAGATTTGAGGATGAGGGGGGGGGAAGCAGGGAGATATAGTAAGCGGAGAGAGTGGAGGACTGAGAGCTGACAGGGATGAGGCAACGAAGAAGTCGAGGAGAGAAGGAAGAGAGGAGAAGAGGGATGAATCGAGAACGGGTGAAAGGTCGAAGGTGTTAGCGGAGTTGAAAGAGAGCGAATGATATGAGGAGAGCTCATGAGTTGAATATCCCCGGGAGGCGTGAAGGTGAGGGTCATGTGAAGAGAGTATGTATTATTGGAAAGTGTTCCGATGGGGTGAGAACAAATGAGGGAGTTGGGAGGACGGGAGGAAGAGTGGAGATAGGACGATGGGAGATGGATTGAGACGATAAAAGAGGCCGAGGTCTGCGCATGAGACCAATTGAGAGATGGAAGAAGCCGAGATTCACGAGGGTCATGAGGATGGATTAAGAGAAGAGATGGGACCGGCGGGAGACTGTCGGAACGAGAAGAGAGATTGGAGAGGGAGAATGTGTGATGATTAGAACGTTAGTGGAGAAGTGAGGAGAGTATGAAAAGAGAATTGGAGGCTGCGAGATGAAGAGTAGAGGAATTTTGAGGACCAGGGGAGAGAGAGAAGAGGAGATTGGGGACCCGAGAGAGAGGAGGCATTGAGTGAGAGGAGAGGAGAAGAGAGGAGGTATGGACGGCGATAGAGAGATGAGATGATAGTGTGGAGCGAATGCCTTAAAAGCTATTGAGGAAAAACCCATACTTTCAATCAAAACTCGAGAGACCAGTAGATTTGGATAAGAGACCAGAGTGGGTCCAGAAAATTGATAAGACGAAGAAAGTTCTTGAAAAATACACCAAATCTATTAAGCATAATTTCATTGCCTGAGCCCCATAGCCTAGAAGTAGTACTAATTTTGTAAAGTGTTTTGGGGTGACTGGGTCAAATGCCCTAAAAGGTATTGAGGAAAAACCCATACTTTATATAACAAATCCGTGAAAAATACACCAAATCTATTCCGCATAATTTCATGGCCTGAGCCCCATAGCCTAGAGGAAGTACTAATTGTGTAAAGTGTTTTGGGGTGACTGGGTCAAATGCCCTAAAAGCTATTGAGGAAAAACCCATACTTTATATAAAAAAATCCTTGAAAAATACACCAAATCTATTAAGCATAATTTCATTGCCTGAGCCCCATAGCCTAGAGGTAGTACTAATTTTGTAAAGTGTTTTGGGGTGACTGGGTCAAATGCTCTAAAAGCTATTGAGGAAAAACCCATACTTTCTATAAAAACATCCTTGAAAAATACATCAAATCTATTAAGCATAATTTCATTGCCTGAGCCCCATAGCCTAGAGGAAGTACTAATTGTGTAAAGTATTCTGGGGTGACTGGGTCAAATGCTCTAAAAGGTATTGAGGAAAAACCCATACTTTATATAAAAAAAATCCTTGAAAAATACATCAAATCTATTAAGCATAATTTCATGGCCTGAGCCCCATAGCCTAGAGGTAGTACTAATTTTGTAAAGTGTTTTGGGGTGACTGGGTCAAATGCCCTAAAAGCTATTGAGGAAAAAAACATACTTTATATAAAAAAATCCTTGAAAAAATACACCAAATCTATTAAGCATAATTTCATTGCCTGAGCCCCATAGCCTAGAGGAAGTACTAATTTTGTAAAGTATTCTAGGGTGACTGGGTCAAATGCTCTAAAAGCTATTGAGGAAAAACCCATACTTTTCCATCAAAAGTCTTTGAAAAAACCATGAAATACAATAAAATATTAAATGTGGTAGACTAAATGTAATCTTTAGGTGTATTTTCTATCTCTTTTCATTAAAATTGTTTATTTGTATCATATTATTGATTTACACCTAAACTACATTTTTTACACAGACAGTAATTCATAGACGGTCCCTAAGTTCGAACGATCTTAGTGCTGGAGGCGAATATCCAACGTCCAACGTGAAACCAACTTCACCACGGTTCCTTTGTTTTACTACAGATGAACAGAGACTTCATGAGTTCTCTGCTGGATGTGAGAAACTGCTACAGGTTATTTCCCGTTAGGTTGTTGCAAAAACACCGGCCTCAGCTCCATATTCCCTGACGGTCAACATCTGCCTGGGTCTGGTTCCTCTGCACACTCTGCCTCTTACTCACCTGCTCCCCTGGACTGTGGTCGGAATGACTGAATGACATGTGAAGCGTCTTTGAGTGTCCAAAAAAGCACTATATAAAACTGAGTTGCATCGTATGTGAGCCGTGGCCTTTATGGATCATTTTTAAAGTCAATCCAATCGTCTCAATTCTACCTGATGTAAGTAAGTGGCGAGACAGAGATAGACAAAGGGAAGAAGACTGATCCACAATGGAACCGAACGATTCTGTGCCGTTTGTGCAAGTGACAAATGAGAAAGAAGCTTCTGCTGCCCTCTGCTGGATCTGTGACAAACTACAAGCTTCTGTCTGTCCTGCCTTTGTGAATGATCCACATCTATCTCTCTATCTCTCTATCTCTCTATCTATCTCTCTATCTATCTATCTCTCTCTCTCTCTATCTATCTATCTCTCTATCTATCTATCTCTCTATCTATCTCTCTATCTATCTCTCTCTCTCTCTATCCCTCTATCTATCTCTCTATCTATCTATCTTTCTATCTCTCTATCTCTCTATCTATCTATCTCTCTATCTATCTCTCTCTATCTCTCAATCTCTATCTCTATATCTCTATCTCTCTATCTCTCTATCTCTCTATCACTCTATCACTCTATCACACATGCTTAGATGGGCCGTGTAAAACAAAGAAGAGTGATTTATGGGACCTTTACAGTTTTTCTCAGTCGCTTTGGTGCATTTTTCACATCATTCTTCACATTTGCACAACTGTTGGTGCAATTCTCACAACAATTAGTGCAAACTGCAAAACCTGGTGGATAACCTGCAAAAGTGCCTCACCTACTCAAAATGAAAAGTTAATTCCTCAAAAGCAAGTCTTCAGGTCAATGAAACTGTCTGTGTCGTCAAAATAATAAGTCCCAACACCATTGAGTACGAACAAGACAGTCAAATGACTTAGTCATGTTTTCATTGTGAAAGTTTACTCTATTATGTGTTTCCAATGTATAAGAGTCAGATCTCTGTGAGCACTTTACACTGAACAGCCATTTGAAAACTGCAAAGCTACACATGACTATATTTAGTAAAGTAACCCAAAGTAACTGAGTACAGGACACATAAGCAAGAATTTCACATTTATTGCATATGCCTTTTGGATTCCACAGCATTGTGCAAAAAAAGAAAAGAAAAAGTAAATACTCACAGTATTTAGAACAAACATAAGAAATACCATTATGGTAGAACTGTGCACAAATGTAAACCATACAACAGTACATATTACAGGAATAAACTAAATAATTTATTCTTGGACATCCAGGCGTTCCTGTCTGTCTGGCCACATGTTTTCATCTACATCACAGCGGATGTCTTCCTTTGCAAGGCAGCGAGGAAAGTATCTCCTTGAGTGGCGAATCCACCCTCTGCAGGACTCCACTGTGATGTCATCACATGCAGCATCCATGGCTGCTAGAAGGGCCATTTGAGCATGTGGACGCCGGTCATAAACTCTCCACCTCCAGGCAGAAAAAAACTCTTCAACCGGATTAAGGAATGGGGAGTAGGGGGGGAGATACTCAACCAGCATCCTGCATGTGCTGCAAACCACTCTCTGACCACATGAGAGTGGTGAAAGCTCACATTATCCCACACAATGACATATTTACTCAGATGGTCTCCAGTTAGACCCCTCTCATTCTCAGGTATTATGGCTCTGTAGAGAATGTCTAGAAACGCAAGAAGGTGTTGGGTGTTGTAAGGACCAAGAAGGGGGACATGGCCGAGGACACCATTTTCCGAGATGGCTGCACACATTGTGATATTCCCCCCTCGTTGGCCTGGAACATCAATTGTTGCCCTCTCTCCAATTCGGTTTCTTCCACGCCTTCTTCCTTTGGCCAGATTGAAACCTGCCTCATCAACATAAATGAGCGTGTGCAGTGGTTCCCTGGCCTCTAGCTCCAGTATACGCTTTATCACAGAAGAGAGGGAGAGAAAAAACAAAATGTAAGAACTTTATGTAACATTTTTGCATTTTTGACATCATAATATAAAGTATGTAGCCTACTGTGAATATACAGGACTAAATCTACACAAAGTACTGTAAAACAGTTTACAGTGATGAAAATTAGATTATGCGTACACTCAAGCTTTACCTGTACATACTG